TCAAAAATTCTCCCTAGAGTCCTGATTCACATTTTTTTGCTATAACCATTATTTCTTCAGCCAATCCCACTTGACTGAAGTGGAAGATATTGAGATGTAGTAATCTAATTATTTAGGATTACCCAAATTGGAGTTGGGCCCGGTCATTGTTAGTAATGCTGCCAAATGTAATGAAAAGCATAATTTTAATTAAATTTGTCGAGGTAGATGTCATCTACCTAGATTTTAAGAAGGCCTTTGATACGATATCTCATTCTGTTCTCATAAATAAACTGATGGGCTGTGATGTAAATGATTACATGGTCAGGTGGGTGGCAAATCAGCTTAGGGGTTGCACCCAGAGTGGAGGTAGACAGGTCGATATTGACTTGGAAATATGTGGGCAGTGGAGTCCCGCAAGGCTCGGTCCTTGGACCAGTGCTAATCAATTTCTTCATCAGTGACTTGGACAAGAGTGTGGAGAGAACCCTGTCCAAGTTTGCAGATGATTCCAAATTATGGGGCAAAGTTAACACACCAGAGGGTAAGGAATGGATCCAGGCGGATCTGGACAGGTTGGAAAAACAGGCAGAAAGAAATAGGATGTAATACACCAAAGACAAGTGCAAAGTGCTGCACCTGGGCAAAAAGAACCACCAACACACTTACAGGCTGGAAGATGACCTTCTCAGCAGCACAGCAGCAGATAGGGATCTTGGAGTCATAGTTGACTCCAAGATGAACTGAGTCGTCAGTGTGACAAAGTGATCAACAAAGCTAACCACACTTTATCATACATTAGCAGATGCATGATGAACAGGTCCAGGGAGGTGATGGTTCCCCTGTGTCTGTGTCAGGCCACAGTTGTAGTACTGCATCCCGTTTTGGGCGCTGCACTTCAAAAGGGATGCGGAGAATCTTGAGAGGGTCCAGAGGAGGGCCACTCGTATGGCCTGCAGGCAAGACCATATGAGGAGAGACTGAGGGATGTAGATTTCTTCAGCCTTCACAAGAGAAAGCTGAGAGGTGATCTCTTGGCTGCCAATAAATTCATCAGGGGAGGGCAGCAGGGAATAGGAGATGCTCTATTTACTAGGGCACCCCCTGGAGTAACTAGAAACAATGGCCACAGATTGACAGAGAGCAGATTTAGGGTGGACATTAGAAAGAACTTCTTCACAGTAAGGGTTGCCAGAATATGGAATGGGCTTCCAAGGGAGGTGGTGCTCTCCCCTACCTTGGGGGTCTTCAAGAAGAGACTGAACAAGCACTTAG